ATTTAGAAGCATACAAGCATTATGTCAGAGGAAGCAAGCTGGCACTTGTGAGACAGGGACAGCCACCAACTTAAGCAGCTCCAAAAGGGATCTGACAGCTTTGGGGTGGAGAAGGCTATCCAACAGCAGTTAGCTAGAAGGGCTATGTAATATTATCAGGACCAGAGGAAGTATTTCCTGGGATATCTGTCGCTGAGGGAGGATAGCAGCAAGAGAAGGCTGCAGGCTTTAGGGCTCTGGTCTTCCAAGAGTGATCTGTGGAAAGAGCTATTCATCTAGGTCAGGGGTGGGCAGGCCATGGGCTGTGAGCAGCCCCTAGTCTATTTCAACACGTCTGAATTGCACTGCTAAAATTTCAGCTGTAAAATTGCCCTTTTGAGGTGGTACAATTTCTCCTATGTTCCTCCATCCCAAATAAAGGCAAAATAAATGCATTATAACTCTGTAAAGCAGGACTCATCTATTTTGCTCTTTAAACAAGGAGGAGGAGAAGGGGAAGGGGAAGGAGAACAGCCCTGGTCACCCTACATCACTGCATCATTAGCCATGACCCCAGTAGGTCATGGAGATCTGAAGTATATGCATACATTTAAACAAAGAGAAATGTTTGATTCAGAAAGTTTACTCCCACTGAATCAAGTGTGAGTTGGTGTGAACTGGATTATCCAACAGAGCCTCTTCTGAAGCTCTTGGTTCATAGTGTCTTGGTGTCTGCCTCCTCCTGACTCACATCCTCAAACTTCCCTTTTCTAGGAACCTGCTTATTCACTCTTTGGAATGAGCTCTTCTTGCCAGCAAAAGTAGGTCAACCCCAGCATGCTGTCTTCACTGGTGGGAAAGCTGCCTTCTACCATGGCAGATCATCTCAAGCCACCTTCCCACCTCCGTTGGTGGCCCTGCTTGTTCAGCAGACAGCACTTCTGCAAGACTCCCACTCCAGGGCTTCTTTTGGTTCCTCCTATTTTGGAAGGTGAGGTACCAGCCCTGTTGCAACCCAGCATAGTTGGGACATAGCCCAAGGCAATAGAGACCCTGTTCCTGCAGCCAAGCCAAACCCAGGAGACAGCAGCAGCTTGAGGGATGGAGGCTGTTATGTTTACATCAACTAGGATTCCTGGATAACAACCCTTGGACCGAAGGCATACCCAGATCTGTTTGCATTTTCAAAGGCTTAAGTAATCTGAAACAGGATCTCTAGTCTCCACCTCTTGTAGTCTTCCTTGCTACAGTGTGAGAAACTGCACTTATTTTTACACTGTAATGTTCTTCTCCAAATTTGCATCATTATGGCCCTCCAGATGTTGCACAACTCTCAGCAGCCCCAAGCCAGCATGGCCAATAAGGAGGAGGTGGCATTCTGCAACATCTGGAGGGCCTAAAATCCCCTATCCAGGATCTAAATCCATAATTGAGCCTGGGCACTTCTGATGCAAAGGTCCATCCTCAGCTTCAGGAGATGCACCTTTCTTTCTTGGAGACTGCCATGCTTAGGTGGCCACCTTCTGAGAGGGAAAAAAAGAACTGCAGCCTGTAATCTAGTTAGACCACAAGGTCTGGGCACAAACCAATCCCGTTGCAATAAGCTTGGATCGAATCCGTGTCTCAATTTTTAAATTAGTGTGCGGATTTGAAGCCGGGGGGCGTCTGTCATCGAAGGACAATTGTTTGAATAGCCGAATGCAAACCCTTATTGTTTTCCAAGCAAGCATGTTGGTTGACTTGATCCTGCACCGAGTGGTCAGGGGGTGGGGGGGAGGGACGAGGGGAAGATGATATGGATGGGGAAGAAAATGCCAGGAAAGGCGGAGCGGAGCCTGCGAGTTTATCCAAGATTTCATTTCTGGCAAAGGCTGTCTCCTCATGACATCAGCTCTGGTATTTCCAATCCCTGAGGGGAAAACGGGGGGAGCAAGGAGGGTGGAAAAATAAATAAAGTGGAAAATAGGCCGAGATAGGACACATTTCTTTTGGTTTCTAAAGGATGCCCTGGCTTGGGGGTGGGTTCGTTTTGAGAAATGGTTGGATGGCCAGCTGTCCCCCAGCTGCAACTTGAAAAGCAGTGGCCCATCACCGCCTTTCCAACTTGATTTTGAGCCTACCGCATCTCCCCTTGGCTTGGCTGAGCTGGCCCCATTCCTCCAGCCTTTGAGCTGAGAATTGGAAGCAGCAGGGGAAAAATAAATTAAAACACAGTCAGAGTTTAAAGATACAAAATCCTTCGGTAACTTTTCTTTCAACAGCCTGGCTCCCCAGGGTGCGATGGGATGCAAGGCTCTGGAGGGCGCTGACATCAAGTTTCAGGGCCAGAATTCGGTGTTCTCCTCCATGTTTTGGAGGGATTTCTTAAAAAAGACAACATAGTTAAGCCAGTGAAGGCTTAAGTACATGTATTTTGCTTCTTCTTTCCCCCTCCCTCAATATATAAACAACACAATAAAATTGCATCACTTGGATTTCTGCATTCTGCCAAGCAACTTCAGCACCCCAGGGATTCATTAAAAGAAGGGGCTAAGCAAGGTTCCACTTTTCCCTGCGCATGGAAAATGGGCTAAGATAGATTTATTCGTCATACCCCTCCTTTCTGCCCATAGCAAGAAAGGCATAACTCAGGGGATCTTGTACAGCCAGGATAGAAGCTGTGGATGCTTGAAAGCAGGGAGAAAATTGCTGATGGAGTTACTTTTACACAGGCACAGATGACTGAAAGTTAGGAGGGGGAGGTGTGGATTCTCAGCAGCAACAGTTAGGAGGGACTGCTAGTCTGATCTCAATGGTCCCTCAAGAATCTTTAATAAACAAGGCTGCTGGGTCAATTCCTTAATTCCCCTTCCAGCTGTAGTGGCTGATGCAGAACTCTTCCTCCAGGATGCTGATCTCCCTCATTCCCACTATCCCTAAGGTGCAATCTTGGGATTCCATTCAAGGAGCACGCTGAACACCTGGTTGTGGTATTTCTCTCCTATGCAATCAGGCTGTTTCCCTCTCAAGTTGCTTCCAAGCGCTAGAAAAACCAAGGTAGATTACCTTCAAGACTGGATCAGGTACAAAATAACACTGACTCCGATGCCCAAGTCAAAACCACAGGGGTTTCCCCATCACTCCCACTCTCAGCAGCCTAGCATCACTTAGCCTGGTTCACCAATCCGATGTCTTTTTCATCCCAACGATGGACTTGAGGCCTGTTTCTGCTTCCTAGTCTGTCCTCTAGGTCTGATTTATTGCTGTGCCTCATTTTGATGACTCCTTTTTCCCAGCACCTGGGTCATCCTAGACCTCCATGCTGAGTCCAGCCTTGGCCAAACTACATATTACATTCAGCTGCTTCAGGTGTCCTCCGTGCAAAAGAAAAGTGACAGCATCACTAGATGGCAACCATTTGTTTTGTTATTGCTCCTGTTCAATGAGCTATTGGTTTAAGGAGGATGTTGTTTAAGAGCTGGGATAGATCGACCAGGCACTACATCTCAACTGTTTAATGGCCTGTTTCACTCACAGAATATAAAGGAGGCCTGTCAACCTTCTGTTATTTTCCCTTACTGACACCCATTTTTTCAAAGTTCTTTATATGCTGCATCTTTTAGGCCAGTGTTGTCCAAACTTGGCCACTTTAAGATGAGTGGACTTCAACTCCCAGAATTCCCCAGCCAGCCATGCTGGCTGGGGAATTCTGGGAGTTGAAGTCCACTCAACTTAAAGTGGCCAAGTTTGGACAACACTGTTTTAGGCCATCCCCATTTCCATGTACATCCTACGTGCTTCAAAGTTACAACATGCTCAGTTCCACTTCTGGGACACTGCCGGGCAAAGACTAGGGAAACTCAGCTGGGCCATTTTCAGCAGTGAAATTGAACAGATTTTGGAAACTGACTTCAGAGCAGGCGAAGGCCCCAAAGAAGAGAAGGGTTACTGGGGTTCCTTCAACAGGAAACAGCCCCAGAGCATAAGAAAATATTGTTGGTAAGCTGACACTTTTGTGCTCTGCAAACGGCCAACCAGGATGTTCATCTCACATTACCTAATTGTAGGGCCAGCCTTGTTCAAGAAAGAAGTTACTGATGTGTCCTTCGCTGCAGAGGCTCCGCGTGGATTCACCCTCTCCCTGCCCTTGAGTTAAATACAACTAGAAATCTAACACCTTTGTATAAACTTCCCTGCGTTCCAAAATAGAAAAACATACAAGACAAGGCCAAAGGGAGGACACTGAGACATGTAAAGAAAATTCACATTATAAGGGATTTGTGTCCTCTGTGGTAGCAACGGATCCTGAGTCTATCTATGACCTCTGACTAGCAATTCTGCCTGTCCCCTCCAGATCCCCCATCCTTCAATAACTTTGAAAATCTTTCTCACAGGACCCTACTTCATCTATCTGACGCATCAGACAGGCAACCATTTTTTTTTTAGTCTCTAAAATGCAGCAAGGTTGGCTCTGTTCACAAAACTGTTAACGATTCTGCAGCCTGATTTGCCCAAGAAGCAAGCTTTGGATAGTATTAACCCTGGTTCATTTTTTGTGGTTTAGCATGTTACACAGACTTAGCCTGTTCACAGTGTATGGTTGAATAGATTACACCCAGAAGATAGAGTTAAGTCAGTACTGTTGTGGCAGATTCCTGTGCAAGGTGGGGAGGGCAGACTATATGATCTCCAAAGTCCCTCCCAACCCTTACAGTCTATGATTCAGATGAAAAAGGTTTCATTGTGGTTTTGCTGTCGCAGAGACAAATGCTCCTTTTGGAATTGCAGAGGGAGTGCTCGTATGAATGAAGACAAAACTTGGACCGGTTTTCTTTCATGAATCTTTTTAGAAGGAGATACTTTTGCAAAAGAATCCCCGTCGACTGAAAAGCGTACAGAAAGGGCGCGTGTTCGTTCCGATGTTCCCAACTAAAAAACAAAACAGTATTTGCAGGCTGAGACAACGATGCATTAAAGATTCTGTGCACATCAAAAGCTGTTCAGCTTCCTCAATTATAAGATGGGCTATAAACTGTTTGGTTTGGCTTGGAGAAGACGTGACCTTTCTCTTTTCCTTCACCTGGATCAATGAAGCACAAGAATGCCATCTCGATACAATAGGGTAACTCCTTCTCTGCCTATTGCAGGAAATGTTGTCTATTTTTTCTCCAAATCTTTCTTTTCAGAATGGAGGGAGAGAGCAATGCTGGAAGGCTAACCGAGTAAAACGGGGTGGTTTTTAGGACCCTGTGAGCAGATGGCTTGCTGAGAGTCCTAAAACATCCCCAGCATTTCTGAGAGCTTGTAGCTTATTCATTCAGAGCAGGAGCGAAGCCATCCAGCAACTGGGATCAACCAACGTCCTTTGCAAACAGGCATTGCAGCAATGTAAAAAAAAGCAAAAACCCAAACACACAGAAGACCAAAGTCAACAAAAACTTTTGAGGTTCTTCTCTCTCTCTTTTGCTCCTCATTCCTTGCAGATTCTTCTCCTCCGCAAGCTCGAGATGAAACTTACAGAGAACTGCCAGAGCAACTTAGCAGAAGCGAGGAATGGACAGCGTTGAGATTGGCTTGCTGAGGGAAGAAGAGAAGGGGAGAGGCGAGTCATCAGAACTCGACCGCTGGGCTGCTTCGCGGTGTTTTCCTTCTCCAACAAGCATCCACCGAGGTCAAGCCTGTTGATCTTGGCCTCGCCATGACAGCTCACAGCTTCTGGGACCTCTGGGTATTGGTGGGTTCTGCTGCGTTCCTGCTGGTCCGCGGACAGTATCCACAAAGTGGCACTGCGGATAACGGTCACTGGAGGCAGATGATCCAATGGGAGAATAATGGAAGGGTGTACAGTCTCCTGAACTCGGGCTCGGAGTACGTCCCGGCCAGCCACGTAAGAGCCGAGAGCAGTGCCAGAGTGGTCTTGGCCGATGCTGCCATGAACCAAGGACGAAGGGGTCCAGGGAACACCCGGAGGCAGGCGCCAACCTTACCGGTCAGATCAGGGTCGGATACGGTCCGGGGACAGACGAGGCACCCCTTCGGTTTTGGACAGGTCCCAGACAACTGGAGAGAGGGAGCCACCGGAGACAGTAACTCCAACTCCCAACGTCCGTGGTCACCCACTCCTCGCCAGAGGCAGGTTGGGGCTGCTTCCTCCTCCTCTTCCTATGCCGCGTTTGGACAGCTCTACCCGCAGGGCTCCTATCCTCAGCCCCCTTTTGTCAATCAGTACGAGACCTACGACCAGCAGGTGCCCCGGGTTTACGACGAGAGCTACAATTACTACCGCACCACGGGGGTGGGAGGGGGCGCTGTGGCTGCAGCCGCCGCCAGTGCTGGAGTTGTGTACCCTTTTCAACCCAGGGTGAGATACGAAGAGTATGCAGAGGACCAGAATCCCTACCGAGCTCAGCCCTACCCCCCTGTCCAGGAGAGACCTTACGTGCCTACTTCCCAACAGCTTCCAGCCTCTGATGGCTTAGACAGACGGTATTCCCACAGCCTCTATCACGACACTGGAACTAGTTTGGACCAAAATGTCCCAGATCCCTATGCATCCACCCAGAACCAGGGCCATGGGGTCCCTCTTGCAGACAACTTGCATATCCACTCTGGATCGCCTGCAAACGCTGGTACCAGGTATGGGAACGAGCAATGGGCAAGGCAATATCCTCCCTTTGGGGAAGTTCCTGAAGAGCCCTACGTTCCCCCTCGCAACGTGGAACCTCAGCCACCCTTCCGGCCCTTAGACCCCCATGGGGTCCCTCGGCCTGAACCCTACCTTCCTATCCGGAATTCTGAAACTCCCCAGTTGATTCCAGACAACCAAGGAGTCAACCAAGCCCGAGTGAGCGTGGGCAGCATCTACAGACCAAATCAGAATGGACGTGGTGAGTCAATGAACCTTTGGCTACGGGAAGGAAGATAGGGAGGAGAGCAGTGGGTCTAACTGTGGGGTGGTTCTTTTTCTGGCCTCCTGAAATAGCTTCCTCTTTGGGTTAGGAGAACCCAGGTGGGTAATGTCACATAGCAGAGCAATGAAGATTATAATCAAGAGAATATACTATCATATCTGGAATAGGAGGCACTGCCATACATCAAAATTAACTACGGCAGTGCTCCTTGGAAAAGGGACTAAAGATTCATCCATTCTTCTTCATGGTCTATTCGTGGTTTCTTTCTGTTTCTTGTCCATGCTAGGCACTGCTGTTGTAACATCTGTATGGTCAAACTATGGTCAACCATTGCTTTCCAAAGCAAAATAGGAAACCATGGATTGAAATCCTGAATGATAATGACGAAGCTTAGCTTAGCATCACAGCTGACATCTGAGCCAGATGTAACAATCAGTACCTTGTAAACCAGAAGTCTCCAATAGGGTTCCTATAGATATCAAGATGCCCACCAAGACCTGTTCTCTCCCCCAAAACACTTTTCTGTTTCCTTATTTAAATTAGCTTTGCACTTAATTGTCCTTCCATCTTCTCAGTTGTCAACACACTCATCACAGTCAAGATTTATGGATGGGCAACCCTCCCGTGGCAGCCATTTTCCAAAGCCTTCCTGGCACTGTCCAACTTGTAGATGGACTCCCGGGTAGCCCAAATTTTCGGGACTGTTGAAATAAGTAAGGTTGAATAGATCAGGATCATGGTGTATGTCATGAATTTCCTTCTTTATCCCCTTCTCTCCTGAAACACTCATCTTTATGAGCTGTGATCCTTGTTGTGAGGAAGACCCTAAACCACAGGTGAAGAACATGTGGTCCACAATGCCCCCTCAAGCTCTCATGTCCTTCAATCATTGTTCCAACCACCCGTTTTACCCAATAATGCATTCTCTGGCCAATGTTGTCCAGCTGTCTGCCAGCAGTGGCTCCGTTCACTCACATTTTCCTTGGATACCTTCCACATCCCTCACCCATCTCCACCCATCTCCACCCACTTAGATCCAAACCCTTTCTACCCAACTGATCTACCACCTGGATGTTTTCTAGCCATCCTTCCCACTCACCATGCTTCTTCTCCCCACCCCAGTAAGCCTTTCCAGTCTTGCTGCTGGGTCAATCCACCCCCCCCCCAAACTGTAAAGATTGAGTTCAATCTGTTCTAAAGGTTTTAGAAGGGTTTTTTTTTTAATTAAAAAGGTTTTTTCCTCAACGCAGTGTCATGCCATGGGGGGGGGGGGGGGGGTTGACCCAGCAGCAAGACTGGAAAGGCTTACTGGGGTGGGGAGAAGAAGCATGGTGAGTGGGAAGGATGGCTAGAAAACATCCAGGTGGTAGATCAGTTGGGTAGAAAGGGTTTGGATCTAAGTGGGTGGAGATGGGTGGAGATGGGTGG